TGCTTTGATAGAATGAGGTCTTATAGCTGGCATGCAATTAGATAGATACCATGGGGGTTCAGGTAAGTGGATTGATTTGAATGAAAATATTGAACATTGCAGGAAGTGTGGAGAAAAACATTTAGGAGCGCTTTTTTAAAATCACAATGGTCAGTTGGACTGTTTAGATGTCTGGTCGTCCATTTCCAGCCGTGGTTCATACAACCCCTGTTCATGACTACAGCTTAAATACAATTTCTATGGAGTATTCTGCAACATGGAAATGAACACTGTTCTCAGTTCTGCAGGATAGTAGATAGTTGCATTTCAGGATCTGATTTTAATGTATAGAAAGAGGAACGTGGAGCCACAGATAGAACCACTATCTTATTCTCTGACACAAAGTTCCTTCATGGGCGTTTCCCAAACAAATTTCAGTCTAGCCTTAAACACCATGGAAGAAGTCTGTCCTCTTCCCTAGCTCTGGACCCCCGTAAAAAAAGCTTTCAATAATGGATGAATAACGGTCTGAGATAAAATTAAGCATCGATCTTGTCATACAAACTTGTAAGTGTTATTGATTTGATGGTCCAGGGTCTGGCTACAATAAAACTGTAGAACAAAAGAAACAGAGTACTGGTATGACATCAGAACTGGTATGTGCATCAGAATCAAATCTTTCAGATGCTGAGGTTAAAATGTATTCCCAAGGAGGTGTGAAGAGGTCACTTTAAGCACTCTCCATTATAGAGTAGCAATGCAAGTGCACGTTGCTGTGGGTTACATGTCTACAGGCTTAGTGGTGGAGGGAGTGGTGAAATACACAAGAGAGATCAATAGACATCAAGCAAAAGGGAAAAAAAAGACAGCAAGCATCACAGGACCATAAGCAATGCCACACCAGTTCAGACCAGTGGTCTGTCTAGCCATAAAGCCAGTTCATGACAGTGACCTCTGTCAGCTGCTTTAGATGGATGTTCAAGAGAAAGTAATAATAGGGGACATTTCTCCCCCACTTCCATTACACACCCAGGCTTTTCCGGAAAAACTGTCTACACTGGCCGCTTGGATTTCCGGAAAAGCACTGACGATCTCATGTAAGATTGTCAGTGCTTTTCCGGAAATACTATGCTGCTCCCGTTCGGGCAAAAGTCTTTTTCCGAAAGACTTTTGCGCAAAAGGGCCAGTGTAGACAGCACAGTAGTGTTTTCCGCAAAAAAGCCTCGATCGTGAAAATGGCGATCGGGGCTTTTTTTTGCGGAAAAGCGCGTCTAGATTGGCCACGGATGCTTTACAGCAAAAAGTGCTTTTGTGGAAAAGTGTCCTGCCAATCTAGACGCGCTTTTCCGAAAATGCTTTTAACGGAAAACTTTTCCATTAAAAGCATTTTCGGAAAATCACCCCTTCCTCCCCCAACCCTCTGACCCCTCTCCACATACCCAAACCCTCTTCCCCCAATCCCCTTCCCAGATCACAATCCCCTCCTACCCTAGATCACATCCCCAAATCCTTCACCCCAGTCTCTTGTCCTCAGTCACAATTGCTTTCTTCACCCAAACTCTCTTCCAGACTCCACTCTCCCTGCTGCACCCCAATCCCTTACCCAAGCTTCCTTCTGCATCCAACCTCCATTCCTGACCCTGAACTTCCTCCATTAATATCCTGGAAGAGTACGGCCCTCGACCACTTTTCAAATCTTGGCGTGACCCCCTGTGATGGGGTAGACAAAGCCCGACATCCCTGCTGGAGCCCTTTGAGCACCCAGGCTAGTAACAGGAGCAGTGGAGAGGCTTCTGGGCAGAGTAGAGTGGCAGCCTTCACTGCAGCCAATCAGGGTGCAGGCTGCTTATAAAAGGAGCTGCTAGGTAAGGCCTGTCAGTTCCTTCCTGGAGCTTGACCCAGGCAGACTTCAGGGCTGACTGGAGAACACCAGCACTCTGGACAGCTCTGAGTGGGAGCTGGTCATCGTACCTCATGGGATCTAGATCCTGCTGCTGAAGGCTAGCCAAAAAGCCAAAGACAACCCTGCAGAACCCTGGACAAGGGGAACTCAGCCACAATGCCCTAGAGAAGGGCTGGTGGAACAGCATCCCGGGGCAGTGGCCCAGGGACATGACAGCAACTAAGTACATTGAAACTAAGCAGGTAACTGCTACTTACAGGGTCCCTGGGCCGGGACCCAGAGTAGTAGGCAGGCCTGGGTCTCCCTCAGCCCCCTGCAAACCACACCCGGGGGGAGGGAGGGAAAGAAGAGGCCTGATCTCCAGCCACTGACTGGACACTGCCTCACCTACAGATAGGCGAGTAAATACTGTGAGATCCCTGCTCCCCCACTCCCCCCAGCCACCAAGGGTTGCTCGCACAAAGAATGGAACCTGTTACACCCCCTGTCAAAAATTATTGCCCATCCCTGATGTAAGGCTCATTCTGTGTCCAGGGTGCTCAGAAATTAATTTGGAGAGGAGATGTGGTGGTCTAACACAGCCACAATTACCAGCCGAGAAGAGGGTATGGTGTAGTCCCCCAGCTGTAGATGCAACCAGTGTAGAGTGGGGAAGAGTAGGGTAATGGTCCCCATTCCTTCCCCTTCTCAGTCAGCTATATTTTGACATCTCCCTCCACAGGGTGAAAGAGGGGAGAGAACTCGTCTCAAAGATTTAATGTCAAAATCTGTTCTCACTCAAGCAGAAACAACTCTCCACGTGAATTGCACTCAGATCTCTGAGGGAAGATTTAACTGAGATTTATATTTTATTTTAAGCTATGGGAGCACAAGCTTGAAGAGTCATAACTAAATGATGGTCTTTCTAGGTTCCTACTTTGGCTCCCACTTACATGGCAGACATCTGAGCTGCTCCTAAGGGCGAGAAGATACAACCATATTTCTCATTTACTTCCATGGTGATTGGAGGAAAGTTGGAGGGTTCATCTGTATTTTGTAAACATGATTATTGAATATAAAAAAAATCATTGTGGTAAGTGAAGATATTGTGGTAAGAAAGCTTGGGCAAAAAATTGAGCTCTGCAATTAGTTCAGGTTAGCAGTCAATTCTTGCTTCATTAGGCTAGGAGTTCTACAGTGTTAGCTCCATTCTGGTGAAGACTCCATCTTCTGCAGCCATGACTCTTTGTGTATTGGGAGACAATCTCGTTGTTTCAGATAATGAGCCTCTTATGAGAGGTTATGGTCACATGGTGAGTTTCCTCCACAGTGCCCACCAAGCGTCTCATCCTAACTTGAAAAGTATCTCCTCTCTCTAGTGAGAGAAAGGATGCCCTATTATGTTCTATACTAATTAAGGTCCTCCTTCTGCAAACCCTTACAGGACATGTGTCTGACTATCATTAAAGATCATAACGAGCATCTGATGCTTTGAGCAGAGACCACGCATGGTACTGAAGTACATGTATACCTAGACTTTAGTAAGGTATTTGATATGGTCTTGCTAGAACTTATCAATAAACTAGGGAAATACAGCTTAGATGGGGCAACTATATGTGGGTGCATAACTGGCTAGATAACCATTCTCAGAGAGTAGTTATTAACATTTATCAGTCAAGAGCATAACAAGTGGGGTTCTGCAGGGATCTGTTTTGGGACAGATTTTGTTCAATATCTTCATCAACGGTTTAGATGATAACATAGAATGTATGCTTATTACATTTGCAGATGATACCACACTGGGATGGGTTGCAACTGCTTTGGAGGATAGTTTAATAATTCAAAATGATCTGGACAAATTGGAGAAATGGTCTGAGGTAAATAGGATAAAGTTTAATAAGGACAAATGCAAAGTGCTCCACTTAGGAAGAAACAATCAGTTTCACACATACAGAATGGGAAGTGATAGTGTAGGAAGGAGTACTGCTGAAAGGAATTTAGGAGGTCATAGTGGACCACAAGCTAAATATGAGTCAACAGCGTGACACTGTTGCAACAACAACAACAACAACAACAAAAAGCAAACATGATTCTGGGATGCATTAACAGGAGTGTTGTGAGCAAGACATGAGAAGTCATTCTTCTGCTCTACTCTGCGCTGATTAGGCCTCAGTTGGAGTATTGCATCAAGTTCTGGGTACCATATTTCAAGAAAGATGGAGAAATTCGAGAAGGTCCAGAGAAGAGCAACAAATATGATTAACGGTCTAGAAAACATGAGCTCTGAGGGGAGGCTGAAGAAATTGGGCTTGTTTAGTTTGGGGAAAAAAAAGGCTGAGGGGGGACATGATAGCAGTTTTCAGGTATCTAAAAGAGTGTCACAGGGAGAAAGGAGAAAATTGTTCTCCTTGGCCTCTGATGATAGAACAAGAAGCAATGGCCTTAAACTGCAGCAAGGGAGGTTTAGGTTGGGGATTAGGAAAAGCTTCCTAACTGTCAGGATGGTTAAACACTGGGATAAATTGCCCAGGGAGCTTGTGGAATCTCCATCATTGGAGATATAAAATAGCAGGTTAGACAGACATCTATTAGGGAAACTATAGACAGTGCTTGGTCCTGCCAAGAGGGCAGGGGACTGGACTTGATGATCTCTCGAGGTCCCTTCCATATCTAGTATTCTATGTGGTAGAGTTTCTACCTAACTATCCAGGTTCCTTGTGGTTCTCCTGAATCTTGCATAAGTATAGCAAAGAGACAGCTTGGTTAAGCAACAAATAAGTATTTAAAGTTTACGAGAGCTTGTAAAAATAATACTGAGGGTTGATTAAAAATTGGGATGTTTATGAAAAATGCCATGACATCTTTTCACGAAGCAACATTTGTTCTTTTAGCCATAATAAAGTCCTGCATGTCTGAGTGGTAGAAATCATGCAGGCCAAAATTGTACTTCTAGCTGACATTAATCCATAGAAATCCTTCACAAGTTTCCTTTCATCACAAAATCTATCAACCCACCGACTTTTTCTACCATCCAACTATTCACAGCTCTGTGGTTCTCTTAATGATACAAACAGAAAACATGTCATAAGACGACACTAAGAGCCAGTGTCAAACACTGATTCCCATGCAGCCCCCTTACCAGTGATATTGCAGAAAACCCGGAATGGTGCAAGAGGTCCACTTCCATCAGCATCAATGTGGAAGAAACCAGAGGTCTTTCCCTTGTGACGATAGGCTTCACACGATTGTTCATAGATGGCTACAATACAGAGAGATACAGATTACTTCAAACACACAGCGGGGGCACTGGTAAGCAATCGTTAGTGGCATTATTTATCCCTTTGATTGACTGCTGGCTTGTGTTTCTGGCCTCAGTTCAGAGAACAGGAATTAAACATGCTTGAGTGCTTTCCTGGATAGAGATTAATCTAAACATGTGCTCTCCTGAACTGGGGTCTTAAGCAATGGGATGCTGGTATTAACTGCTTAAAAGGACTCAACAAGTAATTAGGTGTGTGCCTTTGTCCAACTGAAGGTATGTAGCACACAGTGGAGAACAATAATCTACATATAACTGATAACATGGACACCTCAGACAGCCTGGACAATATAGATTACAGTGGTCCTATGTCTTCCCTGGAGTAGCTGGCTGGTTCCCCTTTAAAGAGAAGCTAAGTATTTCTTTCATTGTCCACAACCCTAGCAGAAAGGACCAACAATTGGTCTCTCCTAGGAAGACAAAGGTTCAGAACCACTCAGAGCTCCATCTGAGTGGAGGTCAAAGCCAGCTCATCCCCTTATTGCGATACAACAAACTCCTGTTTTTTTCTCCAGGTATCTCTCTTCCTATGCTGAAGAGAAAGCTTCAATACACATAATTTCAGAGGTTGGGGGTAAATGATACAAGCAGAGACTGTCACCACAGTGCAATAAAAATGTGCTAAAAACTACCCAAGGGTAAAAAGGGTTCTTTTGATTATACATGTCTTCAGACTGCAGGCAATAGATGACAAATCTCAATACTTAATTTATCCCTCGGGCACTATCCGATGGCTAATATTGACCTTAGGCCCATTAAGAGTCATATATGCACATATGTTTTTGCCTGTACACACACAGCACAAATAGTTAATAGTTCCACTTCTGACAGAAGCACTTGACAAGCAGTCTCCTTCGGAACTGATGCTAATACAGCCCCACAATTCATACAGCAAGCAGATTTTAACAGCAGTTGGTGGCTCCCTTGGCATTTTGGAGAATGCATTAGTCAATACAGCTCCTTTTACAGATCAAATGTGGCAGGCCCCAAAATGGCAAGAGACCCACAAGGGGGGTGGGGAGGAGGGAGACGCAACCAAAAGAAGCACTGGAAGGGAAAGTGGTATGCATATATTTGTACATCATATATAATAATGCCATAGTTTCAAGGCTAATGAGTCAATTTCTGGCAGGCTTCATTTACAACAAAGAGAAATACCCCCCATAATCCACGTCATGGAGATAAAGAGGAGGGTCAGCTAGATGAAGACTGTATGAAGATCTTTTGATTGAATGTTGCGTGCCTATGCTCTTGATCCCACTGCAAGAGGAACAGATCCTACCTCCAACTAGAACCTGACTACACTGATCCGAGTTTATTAACCATAACACTTTTACTATTTAAGTAATTAAAAAAAAAAAACTCAGCCTCAACTTGGCAGATAGATCAAGACAATTTCTTCCTCTGAGACGCAAGGTAGTTCTGAAAACGCAAACAAACAGCAACACACAGCCTTGCAGTGAGTAAGCTCATTAGTGATAACGATAGCAGAACACAGGGTAATATACTTGAGTATTATCTTTGGCCGCTGCAAGGTCAAATCTCTATTTTTTTTTCTTGCCCTCTGATGTTATGTGCACATTTAACAGCTTCTCACACACACACACGCACCACTCTACAGCAACACAAGACGCATACAACCCGAGAGGTACGCAGGGGAATTTGCAAGTCTCCCATTTGGTAGATCTTTCCCATTTCTTCCTGAGCTCCATCTACTTAGCAGCAGCCAGAGCTGGATAGTTAAATTAGATACACTGTAGTGTTTGTAGTGTTGATGTTGGACAGAAAGCTTTGCTGTTCACCATATCTTTCCTCCAGAAGGGTCTCAAGGAGGATTGCTATCTGAATCTAAAGAAATCGCTCCCTCCCGCTGCCGCAAAAAAGCAGCCCCCCTCTGGCTTGGAACAGAGGAGCAATTCTGTACTAGGAAGATCACACAGTCGATAGTTAAGGAAAAGAGTCGTGGTCTCAAATGGATGAAGTTTCACAAGGAAAGATTTCAAATAACCAGACTGGAACTCTGGATAGTGCACTAGGGATGATGCTGCCAAATCCTGAGAGATGAAAGAGCCATAAGTGATCAATCCTGCCAGACTGGAACTCTGGATAGTGCACCAGGGATGATGCTGCCAAATGCTGAGATGAAAGAGCCATAAGTGATCAATCCTGCGTCTTTACATCTACTATGAAAGCAACGGTTCCAGGAGCACCTTCCTGGGGGCATGGTCTGCAAGTGACTGAAGGAAAAGGATGCCAGAGTGGAGGACTGGAAATATATGGATCTGGCCTAGGGTTAACAGCTAGACTGGGATCCACACCTTATTTTATTCATACTTGGAAGTGCGGGGAGGGGACCTATTTGTCCTGGATCAGGGTTTTTTTTCCTCCATGAGGGCTGAGGGGTCGTTACAGAGGACAGTGCCCTAGCGGTGTTCAAGCTGGCTGCCCATATGGCCTGGGCTTGCTAGTTTGTTTCCCAGTTCCTTGAGGGTCAAAGTTCACAACAAGCGATGGCACGTCTTGATGCTCTGCAGTAAAAACAGAGCTTGCTGTGCTATCACTGTTGCTTTTCTTCAAGGGTCAAGCATCGGGGGCCTAGATCAACCACATCAGTTCATGGCTGAGCCTCTTCAAGTGCCTAGATCAACCACATCAGTTCATGGCTGAGCCTCTGGGGGGTTTTGGTGTAGGCAAACAGTAGCTGGGTGCCAATCATCTCTTCCTTTGGCTCACGCAGCCAACATTGTGGTTGATGAAAGCAACCAGGGGAATCAGGTCTCAGTGAGGACTAGCTCATCCTTTACTCCCTCGCTGAGTTTACCTGAAAACAAGGCAACTGAGGTATCATTCCATTCAGTGTCAGCTGCAGGTTGATGGAACCGGGTGGCATACAAGGCAGCTGGACCTTGTCCTCACTGTAGCCTTTGTAGTGCAATGTCTGCTGAGCAAGTGAGGCGAGGGTTGCGATGGAACCGGGTGGCATACAAGACAGCTGGACCTTGTCCTCACCGTAGCCTTTGTAGTGCAACGTCTGCTGAGCAAGTGAGGCGAGGGTTGTCAAAAGTGGCTAAAAGTGTGCACAGGAAGTTATTGCCGTCCATTAATACTGGGCGGTTCCGCCCCAGTAGGGGAGAGGCCCCAGTCAACACCTCCCCAGCTAGGAAATGGATCTCTCTGGCCTACAGTATATTCAAGGGTAAAGCAGCAAAAGGAGACAACACTGGTTCAAAAGCCTCCAGAACCTTTGGTAGCGGCCAAGAAAAGATTTGGGTCAAGGACCCACCTGAGCACAGAGCATGGACGTCTCTTTGTGGGACTGTGCTGGCTGTACGCAGAGGGTCTGATTTCCTTCCGGAAGCTACACCACTTGAGATGGTGACAGCTGCTCCTCAGATGCAGTTCGCTGGCAGGCCAGCAGATGCTTTATTTACCTGTCTGTCTGCTCGCAGCTCCCATTGGCTACAGTGTGCCATTCATGGCCAATGAGAGCTGCCGGAAGTGGTGGCCCTACTGTGTTGCTTTCCACAGCTCCCATTGTCCGGGAATTGCAAACTGCCACCAATAGGAGCTGCAAGCAGACATACCTACAGATGCACGGGTAAATAAAATGTCTGCCAGCCTACCAGGGGCTATCCTTAGTGAATCATGTCTGGCCTATGGGCCGCTTACTGCCCACCCCAGTATTAGGCTCAAATAAGGGTCAGAATCAGGCTGGGGTCAAAAAAAGGAGATCAGAGGAAGTTCTAGGCCAGAGTCAGGGTCAGGCTAGGATTGGGGACCAGAGCCAGGCCCAAATTCTCTGCTCCAGGGTTAAACAGGGTGTTTGGCCAATCAAAGGGCCACAAGGAACTGTCACTCTGGGTCCCTTGGGCATCACTGGGCGTGTCTCTGCAAAGCCTCCTAGGTGCATGGTGAGAACGCCAGTCATCCCAGCTCTGTAGGCCAGATTTCTAGCCCCCACATCCTGGCAGCCACCAAGAGAATCACCCCCGCCACTTTTCCCAGGACACGGATGTTGTTTTCCTCTCTCATCAGGGCTGTCAAGACGCAATGAGACACCTGTTTAGAGCTTTATCTTTCTAGGCAGGAGGAGCCAAACATGCAATGAGTGTGATCCTCTGACATCTGAGACAGCTGACGGTGCTCAGCACCTGGCTGAATTGAATCCCTAAGTAATACTCCTGCATTAAAACCAACTAAGCTACTCTCTTCCTGAGGGTCGTATTTATTTGTTCTGTCTGACGCACTGTTAAATGGCGAGAGGTATTAAATTAAAAAAACCGAACAACCACAGCCTGTGCCTCATGTATTCACAGTCTCAAAGGCAACAGGAAGTCTTTCAAGTACAGATACTGCTGACAAAGGCAACCGGGATATGGGGGAGAGGGGAGGAGATCATAACAGACGATTAAGTGGCTAGCCAAGCAGTCATGCTTTGATGAATTCATAAGGTTCCCAAATTGCAATTCATTTAGTGAATTTGCTGTCATCATCGATACAGAACAATTTATCTTGGCTCATTAGGGAACGCGTTGATTGCATCCTTTGCTTTTTTATTTATTTAGTACAAAGGATGGCGTAAGGAGTGCAGATCTAAGATATTGGGTGTTGGCAGTGAACTAAGAGCGGATACAAACCATTCTTTGTTACTGGGTCTTTCTCCCCACCCCCAGTGTCACATTGCTTAGAGACCATATACCTTATCTCCAAATTAACCAGGAAATGTGAGAAGACCCAGCCATCCATAATCCAGGCTTGTTCACCCCCCAGATGACACTTTTGCCACCATGGTGGTGGTGAACGACAGTCTGCAGAGACAGACCTTGGGGCCACATGCTCAGCTGACATGAATCAACACAGCAGTATTGGTTTCGATGGAGCGATGCTGATTTACATCAAAGGAGAATCTGCCCTAGCACGCCTTCCCCTTCACAATAACA